CAAAAGTAGCAACACAGATTCTCGGTGTGGCCATGAGTGATAATTATAAAAGATTTGATTAAAAAGTATATCGTTGCTAAAATTTGTTTTGCATATATTGATGTGGGAAATGTGAGGTTCAAATTTTTCGGTATGATATTTTGGCATTGTGTTGGAGATTACAATTTGGGCAGTCTCGAATCTGTGTCTACATATTGAAAATTATCTTTACAAGAATTGAAATTTCCATAGTGTGGTCATGTTGTGAAAGTGTTCCGAGTTGGAATTTGCTGAATGTATTCTAAGACACTGTTCATGCATTCTCTATGTATTTTTTTCACATAACGTAGTGTGTCGCGAAAGAGATGGAAAGACGATTGACCGGATCGGAGAGTGGGCGAAACAAGAACATTCTGAGTGGGTGAGAGTGGGTCATTTCGGTCCATCATTCATTAAAGAATTTGCATCTTGAAATAAAGAAACAAAAAAAGCTCAACTTTCCTCGATCCTGATGTTAGATCTACAACGTTGGCATGGCAGGTATTTTATTGTACCTGCAGATAAGGCATCTAATAACTTGATCCTTGTCTGCAAAAAGAACTGGGCCTGCCAGATAACGAAGGAAACCCCACTTATACATGATGCAATCTTTCCAAAGACAAAATACTAGCCAATCATGCTTCAGCACTACAATCGTTTAGATTGCCTATAAATGATTGTATTGGATACCTATCCTTCACATGAATTTACATAAACAACGTTTTATTGCTGGCTCGTCAAGCTGTTCAACCAAGCCTTGTGTAAACTACTAGCCATCATTTTAAATACAATCAAATCTGGATTGCAGTTTTATTGTGACACTGTTTATTCAAGAAGTGGAATTAATAGTATGTGGATTTTGAAGACCTCCATAGAGCTTTTGACCAATTTTCAACACCTTCTTCTAAAAACATTTCTTCGATTTTATTTTTCCTCCCTGTACACCACCATATCCATTTTGAACTGAAGGAACGTCTTGGTTATTTAAGAAAGTAGAATGGCGTTATAGATATATGGTTGTGAACTATACTGAAACGCATTTCCTTAAATATACTTCCATATCAAAGAATAAATATACGGAGGATGAAATCAATAAGATGATTGAGTTTCTGGTTGACAACATCTTCGTCGAGTTTGTGGTAAGATCCACAGACTATTTGCATACCGATGAAAACTAACTGTTTCCCTCTTCTGGCTGACTCACTTTTGTTTTCATACGAGAATGATTTTTTTTTTTTTGATGATCGTATCAAAACAGGCCACAAAGACTTTGCAAAGATGTATTGAATAAAAATATATATATTGACCATATCAATCATATATACCGACCATATTTGGAAATAAAAGACCCGACAGACTCTTCTACATCAACCCGTTATCCCAAGCGTCCCCTACAACGAAACCAACATGAAAGATTTACGCCAAGCTGTATGATAAACTTGATGATTTCAATTTCCCTTTTATGATTTTTCTATTTCTTTATGGCAACATTCCTGCACCCCCAACCTATGATGTTTACATGTCGAAGTTGATTCAATATTCTAAGGCCTGGTCCCATTATCACGATTTGTCTGCAAGAGGTCGCCATCTTACGGTCAAACTCGTAACATAGTGTTTCAAAAGAAGCAGGGTGATGACGATTAAGGAGAAGGTCGACACAGTGATCTTATGGAGAAATATTCTATTTCTTTGTGCAACATTATGTACTCACCGATACCAACAGATACCACCCTAGCCTATTAGGTATCGAAAGATGCTATAAGATATTACCTAGGCCAATAAGATTCCATTCGATGATATAAGGCACCACTTGAGTTTATGAGATATAATCTAATGATATTAGTAACCACGCTATGTTATAATATACCAGCCGATACTATAAGGTACAACCTTAGTCTATTAGGCACCACATGAAATTATAACATATCCTCTGAGAATATTACATGTAGTTACCTGTGAAGGGGTTTAAATACGAGGGTTATTGCTGCCACTGGAGTAAATTATTTATCATCCGATGTTATCATGTTAATGTTATTATATACCACCCGAGGTAATTAGGCGCCACACAAGTTTATTAGATACCACCCGAGGTAATTAGGCACAACACAAGTTTATAGATACCACCCGAGGTAATAAGGCAAAACACAAGTTTATTAGATACCACCCGAGGTAATTAGGCACAACACAAGCTTATTAGATACCACCCGAGGTAATTAGGCGCCACACAAGTTTAATAGATACCACCCGAGGTAATTAGGCACAACACAAGTTAATTAGTTACCACCCGAGGTAATTAGGTACAACACAGGTTTATTATATACCACCCGAGGTAATTAGGCACAACACAAGTTTATTATATACCATCCGAGGTAATTAGGCAAAACACAAGTTTAGTTACCACCCGAGGTAATATTAATTAGATACCACCCGAGGTTATTAGGCGCCACACAAGTTTATTAGATACCACCCGAGGTAATTAGGCACAACACAGGTTTATTATATACCACCCGAGGTAATTAGGTACAACACAGGTTTATTATATACCACCCGAGGTAATTAGGCACAGCACAAGTTTAATAAATACCACCCGAGGTAATTAGGCACAACACAAGTTAATTAGTTACCACCCGAGGTAATTAGGTACAACACAGGTTTATTATATACCACCCGAGGTAATTAGGCACAACACAAGTTTATTATATACCATCCGAGGTAATTAGGCAAAACACAAGTTTAGTAGATACCACCCGAGGTAATCAGACACAACACAAGTTAATTAGATACCACCCGAGGTAATTAGGCGCCACATAAGTTTATTAGATACCACCCGAGGTAATTAGGCACAACACAGGTTTATTATATACCACCCGAGGTAATTAGGTACAACACAGGTTTATTATATACCACCCGAGGTAATTAGGCACAACACAAGTTAATTAGATACCACCCGAGGTAATTAGGTACAACACAGGTTTATTATATACCACCCGAGGTAATTAGGCACAACACAAGTTTATTAGATACCACCCGAGGTAATTAGACACAACACAAGTTAATTAGATACCAACCGAGGTAATTAGGCACTACACAAGTTTATTAGATACCACCCGAGGTAATTAGACACAACACAAGTTAATTAGATACCAACCGAGGTAATTAGGTACAACACAGGTTTATTATATACCACCCGAGGTAATTAGACACAACACAAGTTAATTAGATACCACCCGAGGTAATTAGGCACAACACAAGTTAATTAGATACCACCCGAGGTAATTAGGCACAGCACAGGTTTATTATATACCACTCGAGGTAATTAGGCACAACACAAGTTTATTAGATACCACCCGAGGTAATTAGGTACACCACAGGTTTATTATATACTACCCGAGGTAATTAGGCACAACACACGTTTATAGATACCACCCGATGTAATTAGGCGCAACACAAGTTTACTTAATACCACTCGAGGTAATTAGGCACAACACAAGTTAATTAGATACCATCCGAGGTAATTAGGCACAACACAAGTTTATAGATACCACCCGAGGTAATTAGGACAACACAAGTTTATAGATACCATCCGAGGTAATTAGGCAAAACACAAGTTTAAAGATACCACCCGAGGTAATTAGGACAACAATGCTACATTTACGGAATAGGAAGGTTTATTCATCTACTATTTCATAACAATATATATAATATTCAAAATAATATTATTTTTTCTTTATTAGATTTGAAATATACACAGCTATCTCACATTCTTGAGCACTTATCAATGGTCTAACAAAATATGCATGAAAACGTTGATTATACCATTGTTTTATTTCATCATTAGCGTTTTAAAGTAAGGATATTTAAAGAACTGGAAAGCTTATCATCGTGTTGATTCTCACAAAGAGCAAAATATCATACCATCAAATGTATGATGCATGTCATATCAATCTATCACAGTTAGGACGGAATGTAATTTCAACAGAATATATCAATACTTGATTTACAATATATAAAATGATTGATAAATATGTGCATAATCTGAAAAACAATAAAATAGAAAGTGATTGTGTCCGTTTGAAAATGATCGACAAAAATGCTCTATTTTTATAACAATAAAAAGAAAAATACATATAAATAGAAGTTGAAGAGGTCTTTTTCATACAATTAGCAATGAATATTATTCAATGTAGCACACAGGTGGGTTTTAGTAAAATTTAAAACTAAAATGAATGAAAGAAAGGGAGAGGTGATATGTAGTTTAATGTTTACAATGCAATCAATACACCAGGATATAATTTAATTGTGCATATTTACATACAAGGTGAGCTTTATACTTCATACGATTTAGTTGTTTTAAGTAAATTCTTAATTTTTCTACGGTACAGATTTTTGGAATGATTGTCGATCTCTAAATCTGTGATGTCTATAATTGTACATAGAAAGGTTCAATGGAAATTAATGTAAACGCTTAATTCCAACGATTACTGTTCAGTCAACTGTGCGTATAAGATGCAGGTTCTAGTTCAGAGTTGTGCAAAATTGTACAGCATTGAGTAAGAACTATCTTGCTCTTATAATTGTTTTTCAATATCGATTCAAATTCAAATATGATCCGAAAGTAAAAAACACTAAAGCGAAAATTAAAATTTGAAGTATTTTTACTTAACATTGGCACAATCACGTGTTTACATAAATTATATTGCTTTTGGCAATTTTATCATATCCCATGACAACAAAGAGGTGCTACAATGAAAATGCAACCTTGATATAAATATAAAAAGCATACAACGCCGTAATGTTTCTGATGACAATGATGCAAAGAAGTGTCATATAATACATTCTGTAGATCATTTTAGATTCAGTTAATTTGACAATCACAGCCATATTTTATTTTTAGTCATGATGTCATTTATCATAACTTTCAATGTTGAATAGTGTCGTCACTACATTGTTCATTGTTATTATACGCAACCTTTTCATTTTTTTCAGTTGCTTGCCACAGCCTGTTGCTGTTGTTGTTCCTCAAGAACTGGTGTTTCCTTATTGGTTTCTGGCTCATTGTCCAAGGTTTTAACACAGTCTTTCACCGCCTTTCGTGACCCAGGTGTGTTTTGAAGATATGCAAAATAAGTTTTGCGCATGTGCTGGCGATTCAACGGGTGAATTTCGTCTAATTTGTGAAGGTCCATTCTGTAAAAATCGTCCTTCGTGCGTTTGTAGTCTTTGTTGACCTTCTTCTTTGCATTCGAGCTAAATCTGTCCTTAAGTTCTACCCTATGAACGAAATGATAAAGATTTAGTTGGGCAGTATTTGATAATTAAACATCAGCGTACATAGATGTCATAATCAGCTTATGTCATTACCAATTATGAGAAGGAAGAAGTTCCTTGAAACAAACTTAAATACAAAGACCGATAAGATATGTCTTGGTTGGGACAAAATGTACCTTACAGTGATATTTCTACCTAAATTCTCCCGATTTCAACCGGAAGTACAGTCGCCATTCGAGTATTTTTATGACTGACCAATAAAATTTCAACACATATTGCAAAACCTTCAATAAAAAAAGAGAAAATATTTTTTCATTACCTTAATAAAAAAATTATTCAAATTCTCAAATTAAAATTCTCCAGATCAAGTAGAAAGCTCTGGCAAATGATTAAACTATTACATGAACCATACCGAAATTTTGCCACCTCGTTGTAAGGGAACATCCTTGTTGCATTTTCCTTTCCAGCGTTAAAATCGACGACAGGGAATTTAGGGAGTCTTGTGCTTCCTTCTTTTGGGGAACTTTCCACCTTTTTCTTTTGTCTAAACAATATCACATTTGAAATGAGGTATCATATACTATCATAAAAAGGAGCTGTTTCAGATTCAAGTGAGACAAAATGCACCTGCCTATTATCGCCTATTCATTCTATAAAAGAAAGTGTAATTAGAATATTTATCAATTATTGTGTTTGTTGTTACGTAAAACATTGATAATAATTTTTGACTAAACCTTGTTTAAAATTATCTTCTCTTCACGATATCGTTTACTGTATGACTAGGAGAAATTTGAAAACGTTCACTACAAGTATACAAGTTTGAATTCATGAACTAAACTTGTATACTTTTTGCACTTTCGAATTTGTCCTAGTTATTTTATATCAAACACATTTATAGCTCACCTCTAATCTCAGCATCAATGAACTTTCAGTAATATACTAAAACTTCTAAAATATCATGATCATATATGTAATAGCATTCTTACGATTTAGGTTTTTCCTTAGATTGTCCTTTCGGTTGCTCCAGTTTAGGTAAAATACTCTGGTCCATACGCAGATCTACCCAAGGATCACATAGACCTATAGCCGTGCTCCGCGTTGTGTATCCCTGGTGAAAATCATCCCCTTGCTGTTAAAAAATGATAGAAGTACGTTACGTATTTTCAATATGCAGAAGCGTACAGCATATCGTAATTTCTAATACGATGTTTATCATAATACCTTTCTATCAGATAAATACACCAAATTTCGTACGCACTTATTTAATGGCAAAAATTAACTAACACTGCAAATTCAGGTAACTTTTAAAGTGTATTTATTCTTCCTGGCCATATTAATTCGTTGAGGTCGAATATCTATAAAAGAATTAAACAAATAACAAAAAAAAAAACCAATGATGGGATTGAATGGGTGATTTCAAATATTATAAAAAAAAACTCGCTGATAGAATCGGACCTGAAGTACAATATTATGTGTTATAGCACACGCGTAAGGAAATGTTGAGGCTATGCTTTCCCCTGTCTGCACATTCACAAATTTTTCTTAAATCATAAATTAGATAACGTATCTATTATGACTGCTATGGAAAATCGGACGTGAAGTAATTCAAATATGGTATCGAAGATATACAGTATAGATTTTTTTCTTTGATTTTTTATGCAATGCATTTCCAATATAATGATGTGTGTTTAAATGTCTAAACACACTTGAGGTTCGTTTGAAAAGTTGCTTTAAGTATCAAATGGAACAAAACTGAAACCGGATACCTACAACAAGAAATGTCGGTAGAAACGGAATAATTAATAGTAGGGAGTTAGCTAGCTAGAGATAGATGTGTTGACAGTGCTGTAAAACTAGATCATTTTGTCCTGTCTTTTTAAAATCGTTTTCAACGCTTAACTAATGGCAGTAGGTGGTATTATTTGTGTATACAGAATTAAAAAAAAAACAGAAATTATCATAGAAAAAGATATCCATAAGGCAACTTGACGTCCACAATTGTTTAATCTTTATTTGTATTTTTTCCCTTTTTCTTCTCTGCTGTGTATGCTCTTAATTTAATAGACTTGAATATTTCTCTTAAGAAATTGCGATAATATTTTTAAAATGCCAAATTCAAGCTGGTCACCGCTTAGCCATTTTGTTTGTCTGATCAGTTCCAAAATTTGACTGGCTAAATTATAGACCAAGGGTACCTACTTGTACCATCGCTAAACCAAAGACAAGCGGCCATTTTGTATTTCTGATCAGTCCAAAAATAAAACGGACACAACTTGGGACCAAGGAAAAAGTACCTACAAAATTTTAGAAAGACATTTATATCACTAACTCCGTTTGAGATTGTAATCTTTTGGATCATTTATATAGTTGTATTCATTTTTTGTACTTTTCTCTGGCTGAAAAAAAATTCTAAAACAGATTAGACTTGCAATTACCCATGAAAATGTATGTGACCATGCATGGACCTTTCCAGAGATAAATTGAGGAGTCAGTGACAGAGTCTAAGAGAAAACAAGGGAATCACAATAACATTTTCAAACCTATATTGGTCCCGAAAGTGATCGTGAATGATTAGCTTAGACAAAACAAGACCTATTAGAAAAATATGGGAAAAGGTCCAGCGCATCCAATGAACTCATTACCATAAAAGATGTGTAAAACCAACAGGAGTTTCGGCTCCCTTCTTTAGTAGTCAAACGCATTTTTTCTTTGCTTTTTTTTTTTCGTTTATTTCCAATACATAGCTAAGGACGATGGAACTGAATATGATCTTCATTTTTAGTTGCAATGAAATTGATAGTAACGTTACGTATATATTTGCAAACTTCCGATATAAAGAATAATATGTATGTAAAAAGAGTTCATTGGGTATGCTCAGATTTTGAACAGCAAACAATTTCACGTCAAGCAAACGGGAAAAGATAAAGCAACTGAACCCAGCTTACAGAGGGGCGGCCACGACTGATGGGCCTTTGTGGTTGAAGTTCTTCATCAGGCTACAAAGACAAGCAGGCTACATCACAACAGGTACTACTGTCCAGCAGAGTTACAAACTTTATGCAAAAATATTTTAAAAAGAAAACCAAGATTCCCTGGGATACCACTAATTAAAAGCAGTTGTCAGTCACCAGAAAGCGGCAAAATGCATGTATCGTGGTTTCGACTTAGTATTTCAAACTTTGCACAAACAAATAATAACGGTTACATAAATAACCCCTAAACCCCTATCGGGATACCAGATCAACAGATAGTGGAAACAAAGTGTTACTCTGGTTTTATGTTAGAGTGTATAATGCACTTTAAACAAAGATACGCTTACACACTTTTTGTGACATTTGCGAGAATCCTCAAAATACACCTGCTGTTAAAACATTATTTTTGCAACGAAGATATAGATAAAGCATCACTTGCTACTGTTCTACATACCAGATATCTATCATTGTTGAACACAGCAAAATAAACTAGGTATATAAGGCAGCTACAAGTACAATGTTTAAAATGTACTAGATACAGGATTGTATAGTTCCCTCAGTCAGTAACGTTGATGACTGATACTCACCAAGTTTATAAGATAGTGAGGTACATATGTGTTGTAGTAAGGCTCCAGACTTGTCCACACAAACGGTTCGTATTCTTTGCTTCAAAGAAAATAAGAAATGTGCATACGTATAAGTAATTGCTGTTCTTCATGCGACCGTTGTTTAGTTTTGTATGGCTTTAAGTTATTAACAAATTCTTCTATAATGATTTAAAATACAAACAATCCAATGAACGGAGAAAAATGTTAACAAAGACTTATTCAAAAGAAATAACATTATGGAATAACTATGACTCGGTTTTGAAGGCTCATTCTAAACTTCAGTTTTCGTTGTCCGTTTTTCCGAGGCTATGCTGAGAATGGAATATCCCATGAAAGTTTAATTTTTTCTTACATCACAGTCGCATATCTATATATCTCTCTATTATCAGTTTTGGTTTGATTTTTAATTCCTTTGCTGTGGATTTTGACAAAAAATAAATTAATATGATATTCTGCAACAATCAAATAATTCTATAATTCATTGGTGAATAAATGCAATATTCGCTAATACCAGTAACCTTACTTGACTGAATTTGACGCGTCCGTGATAGAAAAATGCACGATAAGTGAACACCCCAGAGAAAAGGTAGTTCGATTAAGATTGGTAAAGACTGATTTTTCAAATTCTAGATACCATCTATTTATTAATACCAGCTGATTAGGAAGTTCCCGGAATACTACGGTATATGCTTTGTATTGTTCAATCATCATTTTCTCACGCCTGTTATTTGAATCCAAGTAATAAATGTTCAAGTTATTTAATGCCTCTGAATTCACCATGATACGACAAACCCACCAGATCTCTTCAGTGAGGCAGGTTAGTTGAACCGCGTTTTCTCATCAGGTTAGGACGAAGGTATACAAATTAATATGGAGGGATAAACACGTGCGCAGGGAACCAATTCTTTCAACAGGCATTACTCCTTAAGAATTCGGTAAACTATTCCAAGATCTCTTTTTTAGACTGCTAACTCTGTGATGCCTAGTTGGTCATGCTTGTTTTCATTGAAGATATATAGTAATTTATCTGTGTGTGATGTTTATACTCATGTTATCCATCTTTTTCAATTACAATATTTACGGTTTTCTCTTTATAGATAACATCTAAATTCCGTGACATCGACTTAGACGAATGGAATGAAGTTACTGGTACTGGCAAAGTATGAATACTCATAAGACAAGTTATTACTTTACAACAAGAACGAAAAATGTACAACTTTGATATTTAAATATTAGTCGTAGAAATAAGGTCTTACACTTGCGGTCTCTTTATGCTTTCAGCCTCTTTTCCGAGTCGTACGCGCAACCGCCTGAGCTCCTCCTGGAAGTAGTCCTTCTTTTTATTGCTCTCTGTGAAAAAGAATTTTCAGCATTATTTCTAAAACGTGTGATACACATGTATGATGGGCAACCGGATCACGATTGATTTCAGAAATGATTTTTCAGATTGTAAGATAAGAGGGTCAGAAGTTCTGATACTTTGAAAATATTCTCAAAAATTTTTTATATAACATTTAAAAAGTACATCACTACGTTTTAGGTTTGCTTCTTTTCCAGAACTCAAACGGTAAGATTCATTGCTAACTTCGAGGATGAGGTAGACTTATTCAGTTAAATGATGAAAATTGGTATGGAAAATGTAGGTATGGAACCTAAAGTTATTTAGAGTATCAGACAGTCATTTATACATCCATCTGTTATTGGTGTTATATGTTTGTTTAGAACAACAAACTTATATCACTCTCTCAATACATCTATTGTAAGCGTATACGAAAGGCATTCCACCAATATTTCTTTGAAATGCACCTTCCGACATTCTTTTGAATCCGCAAAGTAATAAATAATGGAACAGCCAATGGCAAGCAAACGAATTAGCACATTTACCAAATCCAATCTATAAATTGATGAAATGCAACTAAGGCAACAGACTATAATATTTTAAAGTCAAAACCATATTGTTCAAATCAAAATAATACAAGATAACCAAAGCCTTAATATGATAGTTACAACAGAAAGCTACTTCCTTTTGGTGAAAAGAAAATAGAAGCTGAAATATCAATAGTTTCAGGATATTATGAAATTTGCTATTTTGCAATTGCTATGTTAAGTTATTACATGTAAGTACATTTTTACATATTTGTGCATATTATGTCTCCTAAAACGAAGCAGTGCATTCTAGTCGTAGGGTTAAACTCATGCTAGCAATAGTTATATATTTCTACACGTATATCATTGCTTTTCTAGTGATTGAGTTATATGATTAACTATTGGTTTGATATGAAATGGTAACTGTTTTACGTCTTTTTGATGTGTTAGTAAGCACAGAACATGAATGTACATGTATTTGAGGGACATCTTGCTGTATTTATTTGAAAGTAAAGCATCGGAGACACAGAAATGATAAAACATCAAAGGATCAAACGCCGTAATTGTTTTTATATATACATTTCAATATTATTTGATATATATCATATCAAAATAATATATGAATTATATTTATTTAGGTATTAAGATTAAGTGGTGTGGTATGTTTATATAGGTATGTAGAGTTTGGTCAGTTACAAAACATGTCCATTGTACGGTGCGTGCACACGAGCGTGACGGTCCTGAGAAGATTTACAACTAACAATTGTGCGACACCGATTAGTTGATTGCTCTGAGGATTGGCCAAGATGGTCGGTTTTTACCTGTAGTAGTATATTAGAACCCTATAACGATAATAATAAATAAAGATTTTTGTTCTGCTTATCTATTCCCTTTGTTGTCACGTTAAGTTGTGTTTAATCTTAACTTATACCTTATACTTTAACGGTATACTTAAAAACAAAACAAAAGAAGTCCAGAAACAACAATACTTGGTGGCGTGAAAAATGATATGTCTATGAAACAAATATAAAATATAATATACTAAAATCACCAAAGAAACGCACAAAGCCCAATCCCTCTCCCCCCTTGCAGTACATCTAAGCTGTAGGGAAAAAAATGGAATTTTTTGTTATAAGACAATAAAAATTATCTCCCTCCTCGGTAATCTACCCTAAAATCAGTCTAGCATGACGATGTTATTGTCTGACTTTAAGAGTTTTTATAGTCCAAATCACGCGGCGTCATCAAGTCAAGCCGGGTTTTTTTTTTTCAAACGAATAATTTCAAGGGATATTCTAAGTTATGTCATGTTAATTTTCCACGTTGGCATTTTGATTTCGCCATTGACCAAGATGTCAAGCTTAAAGCAAAATCAAGAGGGTAGGAAATTGCGATGTTGATGGATTGTCAAAGCCAAACTGCTGTCGCACGTCAGTTTGGTGTTGCCCCACGTAAAGTTTAAGGTCTCTATACACATTTCCATGCTACTGGGTTAGTGTCCGATCGTCCCACATGCGGTCGTCCCCGTATATCGACCGCACGACAATGACAGGGCGAATCGATTGTCACACTTGCGCAATAGATTCAAGACTGCTTTAGAGACTTCGTCGCATACCTTAGGTACTTAAGACAGACCCATTAGTGTTCAAACTGTCAGGAACCGCATGCATGCCAAGACAATCATTGCGCGCCGACCTTATGTCGGGCCACTTCGAACACCACGGAGGCGGCAAGTGTGTCTTAACTGGATGCGCAGACATGATCCGAATAGGTTTGGGATGCGTCGGGGAAGGCGTGTGATGTTCACCGAGTCTATTTTCTGTCTGTAACGCTCAGACTGAAGGAAAAAGGTATATCAAAGACGTGGTGAGAGTTTCGCCGGCGCATGCGTGGTTGAACGCGATAGATTCGGTGGGGCTTCAGTAATACATTAGGGAGGCATCTCCCATGGAGTAAATCCCCCTAGTAGTCCTGGATCCAGATCTCAATACCGTTCGAAACAGAGACCAGATCCTCCAACCACATGTCCTTCCACTTCCTTCTTAGACGTCATAAACTAATTTTCCAGCACGATATTGGCGAGTCCGTGCAGGGATTCATGCAATAGGTTCACACACCAGGTACTGAATTGTCATTTTGGTTTTTCGCGAGTATCCCACTTTGAGTAACTACTGACGGCACGAGTGACGTCACACAGCCTTTTCTTCTACAGTATTGTAAAGAGTAGACTGGTCCTTTTACATAGACAAACTTTTGTAAAAATTTCCCAAAATATCATAGGCTATTGACTGCATAATTTAATTTTGTGTTTCTTTTTGAGTATATATTCAACGCTGTGGTACCAAACCGGTAGTATTGTAATATAAGTTATTTCTACAGCTGCACATGTAAAACCACAGGTAGCCTTGGGTTGTGTAATTTCTTGGCTGAAACACCAGGAGGCCATGGACTCTACCTATTATATATCAGATATTTTTCACCTTATCTGGGTGAATCCTAGTGCAATTCTAATTTAGCTGTAGTCTGTTTCTTGTTTACTATAAGTCTTTCCCTCTTGCTCAACAAGTGAACTAGATTAGTCTTCACTCTAATGTATATAGGGGAAAAACCCGCTTAATCCACATCCGGTAAAAGGATGGCCTGTACGTAAAGTATTAGCCCTAGAACAACGTGAATTTGAAATAAATATGAACGAAAACTAATACTGAAGTGATTGGTCATACAAAACTACCTTTTGTTGAAATCAGCAAAGCATTATCTTGTAATATGTCAACATATTTATTATTAGACTATTCACAAAGTTATCATAGTCGATGTGGCAATTAAAATTTGTGCATGAAGATAACATATGATGTTCATATAACCCTTATTTCATGATTACTATCCATAACCGTTTACGCTGTAAAATGCTGATTAAAGTGACCGAAGTTCACGACAATATTACAGATAAGGCATTAATCTTTGTTGTTTCACACTCTCGAAGTGCGAAACTTACCTGGATAGCGATGACTGCAGACCCTCCGGCGATAGACTAATTAATATCATGATGAATTGTACAAGCGTACAACTTTGAACACTAATATTACCTTAGTAATATATTTAGATAATTTATTAAGAAAACTGGAGAATTCATCGACAGCAAATAGATAAATTTTAGCGTTTACATCTTATACTAGTGAAAACGAATATTAGAACATATTTTGCAATTCGAATATCTCAAAACCGAACAAATATTCGTTGCCACCCCTATTGTATATGATATTTTACAACAATTACATATCGATGCATTGAAATTGAATATGAATTAGCAAGTTAGTTATTGATAACGTGCAACATAGATCTTGATTATTTATCCAGAAAATGTGTTGTGAATCTCTAAATGTTTGTTGTAGAGTTAATTTGTCTGAAAGTAACTGAAACATAATAGTCATGACAAGTTACCCCTGGTTCATCTGCTGTGAAGCTAAAAAACCGGTATCGTGGACAGTAATATATGTACATGCGCATGCATCTACCTACCTGCACCTTTTTTGTTCGGTTTGTTCCTCTTATTTTCTTGTTTTTTCCCTGATTTTATTCAAGAAAGCAAACAAATCAAACACGATAAATGATTGATTTTACAAAAGCACACTTGTGCACCATTTAAAAGAAAATACAAAACAGCAAAACAGATAAAGCATGGTCCGGAGACATAGAAACCAACAAAAATATAGAAAAAATAAATTAAAAGGTAAAAAAGTTGCGTATTCAAAAGCATTGCTGCATTTAAAGCGAGTTTCCGATATGCAGTAATCGAATCGGCAATTCATTTGAACGTTTCCGATAAATTATATACAAATTCAAAACGTTAATGTGTTTGCAATATATATATATATATCACATATATGTATATCAACACTTGTTTATAAATCCTAAACTCAAAGGGCTTCCGACATTTTATATCACAAAGGAATACTTTCTACGTTTTAAATGTTTTATGACAACAAACTTATATGTAATTAATAACATTCTTGAAAATTACTGTTATCTAATGATCACGTTTCATATCACGGAAGACACATTTCTTATATCTATGAAAGATGAATGGTTTAAGAGATGATTAATGTGAGGCTATTAAGTAGCAAAGGTAAAGCGGATGAACGAAAATACTCTATAATATTGACATTGACACCTTTCGACATATAAGAGGCATTCTACACGGTAGAAGTAAGCATTTTTATGATGGAGTATATACTTTGCCTTCTACATTATCATGTTCTATGAACACACAGGAAACCTTTGTAATATGCTGTTCATAGTTCAAAGTGACAAAATACGAGAATATATGTGGTCAGACCATCTAACTTGGTGAAGATGTACTCAGAACCGTTGTTGAATAGTCGTTAGGCTCATTAACATTAGAAGTATTATTATTTATAAATATTTTATTTATATATAATATTAATAGAAATAAAAAGAAATGTATATTCTTAATCTAGTACATTAAACTCTTCATCTAGGGTGGTAACTCCGCATTTTCCTTGGAAATTATATCGAAGACAAATAGAGCAATGTATCTCTATATCTAATTTTCCAACTTAATATTTCTCTCCATGGAGACTACCCTATTGACATCAGAACTACACCTTTTATTCCATTTAAAACGTTTTCCTTTCTTTGAAAGACACGAATCTGTTCCAATGAGTGACCTTCATAAACTGGTTTGCGATATAGTAAATTAACGATAGTTTCTTATCTTCAGAAATATTTCTTTAATTATTTTGTCTGTCATCGTTTGGCGAAATGTTACAATTTCTCTCTAGAAAACTCCAAAAGAAATATCACATCCCCTTATAATAATAAGGTTAAGCATTAAAAAGAGCAGCAGTTATGTTCGTTAGTAAAAGCAATTAAAACATAAATATAACTAGAAAGCTATTGAAATATTAGAAAAGCATTGAGTCATGCACTCGTGCAACAAGTACCATGGGTTTATCTCAAGCAGAAATACATATCGAAGTGAATACATGAGTATAAAATTGATTCATGGAGACTGGGAGTATTTGGAATGATAAATTTTACAACGTATCAAAGAATGTCGGAAGGCATTTTGAAACTGAGTGTTGGGTATGCATGAGGTAGGAATAGACAGAAACGGAATCATATAATCACCTCTGCTTATCATTCTCCCGCTGTTAGAAGTCTTGGCGCGTCTAAGATAAGCAAAGGAAGTAGACTTTGCAGGTGTCTCTGTTGTATGTTCGGCTCGTCTAAAGGGAGCACTACGAGAGGTTTTGCGACTTGCATGCATCTGTGGCGTCGAAGAGTTAGATGAAGGGATAGGAGCTCTAAATTTTTGTTTTGTAGCCGTGGCTGTAGGTTCGATTCTTTTCCTAGACTGTAGCACCTGGTATGGCTTAACGGGTTTGGTTTTACGATCTTTATTAATTTTATCGATATCGGTCGAAAGAGAAGACGAGGAACTATCGTATCCGTTTTGAATACTTCCACATGTTTCATCTGGAATTTCTTTATGGTCCTCAGCTTCATCATCTACTTCTGAACGTGTATCAATATATTTAGCCCCAGGCTGATTTTCTATTCCATCTGTATTCCTATTATTCAGATCACGTTGAATTTGTTGGTCCACGCTTGTGCTGCTATATTCATGCTCAGATTTTAGATTATCTTGACTTCTAGTTAACTGTTGTTCCGACTCCGTTGATACCTCTACTTTTTGTAGTTCTTCTCCGTCTAATATGTCGGTGCGGTATGCCTGCCCTTTTGTTAGCAATTGATCATCAGCAGAGTTAAGGTAGTCCTGTTTTTGATGTACGTGCACGTCGTAGCTATTTTCTGACTTGCCTGCATCATTTTCCTGCTCAGCATGTGGTTTCGCTTTCTCATCTGGTGTGTATTCAGTGGCGATGTTACCTACATTACCATTGTCATCTTTAGAAATATCTGCATCATCCATGCTGTTTTCAGATTTGGTAAGCTGTCTAGTCCCTCTTTTAGACTCTAACTGATTTTCTATACCTGCCGTAATATCTGACAACTGGTCAGTGTCTGGTTTATGAACATCAATAGATATAGAATCTTCGTTTTGTTTTGGGTCAGTCTCAGATTTAGCTACAGATTCCTGAAATACTTTATTTTCTTCTTGATCACGTTTAGCATCATTATCGTTAAAATATTTTGGGTTTGACATATTTATATTATCTGCTAGATTAGCAGAATCATCATTTTTATTTGGTTTTGTGACGTAAGTTGTATTGCTGTCTATCTTTACTTTATTTTCTGAATTTGCTTGAGTTTCTAATTGATTTCCGTCATTTTTATGGTCTGCTGATAGCTCATGACTTTTGCTTATTGCATGATCAGTAGAGCTATCATTTTGTTCTACTAGTTTATCGTCACCGTTTTGTGAAAATGTGACACTTCTTGTTTCAACATCGAAGTTCGTTTGATCAGTATTTTGTTCAGTTTCTGACTGTTTCGCTCTTCCTAGTTCAAAACCAGAGTTATCTTCTTTCTCTTTGTTTTCAATATGATTTTTTTCTGGCAATTCTTCTGATTTCATTTCTCCGTCTTGAAGTTCTTGACGTTCTGCAAAATCTAAAGACTGTTCGGTGGGTTCTTCTTTATCTAGAATATCAGTCTTATTTGTTTCTACGTCAATATTCCCACTTCCAGCCTTTGATTTAGAATCTTCAATTTTCTCATTTTCAATAATTGGTTTGTTGGTTAATTGAGAATCACTTGTTTCTTCCTCTATATATTCCTTCGTTCCATGATGATGTAGTTTCTTGCTTACTTCTTGTAGGAGATGGTCAGTATTGCATTTGCCTATAGAAAGATTAACATATAGAAAGATTCTAACTGTATCATCTCTCACACTTAAGGTGTTGCCATTATCATAAAAATATAAATAAGCGAAATGCTGAGTAATATCCACCATTACACACCACCGATCATTTAACAAAGAGCAGACAAACATTTGGAAGTGTCATAAAAGCCCAACTCAATACCGATACCTTCACCATTGCATTGGTTAGAATAAGTAACCTTTATCTATCGGGAGGTTCATCCTACGGATTTCTATACACATTGTATCATTACGTATGTATGAAAATGACCTATTATCGATAAACTATCTTGTTCTATTCATTTGTTATGGTTTAATTATGCAGCAAATAGAAGTATGTGGTTCATATTTATGCTTACTGTGAATGTTTTGAATGCCAATATTATCATAGTTGCAATACCATTATACTATCTAGAAACGTATATACATAAGGCGTTTTCATAATATAGACTTTAATAAAGTAATAATAGGATTAATAAAGATGTGTATGAGAGTGATATTTCGAACAAATGTTTATTGTCTGCAATAGATGATGCCATCGTTGATTAAGCTATTTCCTTATTGTATGTACAAATGTAAGGCGTTCCCTACTCGTTAAAGTGGCTTAGGTTTTTTCACTGTCAGACATTCCAATTTAAACACCACTGGATTATGCGTTCTGAAATGGATAGGATACAGACACTGACAATTTCTTTGGTCATCGATATGTATTGAATAAGCATTAACATCATTAGTATGAGATTCCGTATGTTGTTTAAAATACCGGCAGTTGATTGAGACTATATGCAAGAGAAGTTAAAATTTCGAGAAAAAAAAAAAACAAACCCCGAGAGCTGTAAATAGTGTGCCGTTATTCTACATGTAGTTGAGTTCGATTACCTACATGTGAACATTTCATTTCTTGATTGAAACAACCCTTGATTCCCGTGGTATTTACATAACGCAGTTGATTTAATATTCAATACGCTGTACCCAATATGTCAATAAATGATAGACAAATCAACCATATAGGTTTGCGAGAGATGCAGGCTGATTTAAATCATTCCGTGTAGATTTTTCTTTTGTTCATGTTTGCCGTAGTTTGACTGAATTTGAGTTTGCATTATGATTTTATGTACGTGTTAGTATTATGATTTTATTTATTTATTTTGTTATCAAGTAGATTCAGAGTTATCCTTTGTTATATAATTCCGATAATTCATTTCAAAAATTTGAGCGGAAATAACCACAGTTCCAATGCATGCAAATTCTGGAGGTAATCACCAAACGCACATGCTGGTTTTAGTGTTTGTTCATATCCTTACATTTGTAGGAATTAATTTATTCAAGTTAATGCATTTATTAGACGTGATATGAATGCTGCAGCTACTTTCGCTCCAGTGGAGTATATTGTAGTAAAATCTCGTTTATTAATTACAAAAACTTTGAATTGTAGAAATCATCGTAAGAAAACATCAAGTTAAACTCGACTGATTTATATTTGAAAATTAGAAATTCATATATCAATGTATATAATCACATATATTAGTACTCTTCGGAAACAAAGGTTAGTGTTCTGGTATGTTTTTATACTTATGTTAAAAGAAATCTGGACAGAACAGATATCGATAACCATACAGTGATCCAAACCCAACCCAATATGACCAGAGAAAAAACGTGTGCAAGAGTGCTATATATTTCGCAGTGATTTGTGCGTAATATCACCAAAAAAATATAAAATGGAAACGAGGCATGAATATGGATGACACCAATATGTGACATGTTAATATAAAGACTGTTTGGTGTTTTATATACATATATATTTTCTAAGCAAATAAAGCCATAAGCGATAACTTAATATTCAAGCAAATGGCAAATGAAAAAAACCCAATATATTGGTGTGTGGTATACGTGAGATATCAAATGAAATACTTAATTTCGTTGTTATTGGAAATGATATCCACTGCATAGTATAATTTTATAGCGACACAGTTGAACTTGTAACATAAAATATAATCTAACACTAATTAAGGTTTTTAATATCTGATTTTAGAATTTTTGAATCTAAGGTGTGTGAAATATCATCTGTTTCAAATTTTATCACAAAAATTGTTGAATTCGCTCGTGTTTTTTTTATACTAAAAATCACTGATGAATTGTAACCTGAAGGGTTTTTCATTGACTGCGCCAATCAGAAATCGATTGTAATAAGATCGATTTATGGAAATGGAACACCAAAATGTCTGCCATTTGCTTTTTGTTCTCGATATTTTGTCTGTAAAACCTGGCAAAATGTAACGTTTTTAATTAAGTTATGCGATGAAGAGTATCGCTCAGGATCACAAACGTAAACACAAATTTATTTTCTAAGATTCGTTCCATAAAATCTCATATGAAATGAAAACTCATTTTAAAATCTATACATCCTTTAAAACTTAAAAGAATCTTTCTAATCTTTGTCAAATGTTCAGATATTTGATATTTGAAAATTAGTACCATTTATTGATAATTGATTGTAAAAAGAATATGCTATGAATAACAGAAACATGCAATGATAACAAATCCTGATATAATCATTCTTGATGTAAATTTAAATCGTGAATATGCATGCAGCTCTGTATTAAATAGAAATGATAGCGACTTCATACCTGCTTCATCATCATCCTGGTCTTGGGCGTTTGTGGCGGGTTGTTGTTTCTCTTTCTCTTCTTTTTCACCTTTAGTGTTTAGTTCCTGCTTGGTATCCCCATCAGTTGAATGAGTGTCCTCGTCTCCCTAAAATGATATTAAAATGAGAACTCAACTCAACAGTCTCTTTTCCAGCTGATCTCAACATATCATGTCGATTGATCCACACTAGTGCGACTTAAAAAAAGGTGTAGTATCGATAATGTAAAGAATTTGTTCTGGTCCTGGGTCGCTGTTTAGACACTTTGCGCGGCTTAGTATATTATTGAATGGTTGCCGCATTTAAACAATGCTGGAAAAAGGTGTGAATGGGATAAACGATTTCTTCTTTGAAAAAGCACAAAACATAGTCTTATACATACCAATTAAATCCAACAACGTTTGTTTGTCAACAGCATTTAAACTTTGCGAAATTTAAGATATATATACACACGTTAATAGACTTACATGCAAAAATTAGGTCACAGCAGAGTGTTTGTCTTGTGGATTTTACACATTTAAGCATTTAATCATAATAACAATACCCCTTATTTATATTCATTAAATACATTAAATTTGTATATACATTAAAAGTAATGTCCCTGGTTATTATTCTATAAAATATCAATGTTATGACCTTCAGTGATACCCAAGTTCCTTGAAATCTCAATAAAATAACACTCATAAATATTCTGTGAAATTTCAATATAATACCTCGAATATAGATAGCAGGAGGCAGACACTGCTAGTGGACTTTTAAATGTTCTGTTTTTACCTCAATGTTTTGTCAAAATCTTTACACCACCTACATTTGTCTTTTAAACATAGTGGAAGAGTAACAAAGCGTTGGTTTGTGAAGTTTTTACTAAAAGTTCGGATTTAATCTTAACAAATATGTGCGACCTTCCGATGAATATTCATTCATCACACAACTGATTAACATTGTGATTTTGCTTAATACTTCAGCTTCGTGTGAACTGAAAATGAATTATTTTAAATCAATACTCGTTAAGAACGAAATGGTAGATATAAATGGATTATAGAAAAAAGTGATATTTTAGTTTTATACGGAATGAAAATAACATCTAATAAAACATCAGTCATTAATGTTTCCTTCGTCCTTAAAATATAGAAATCTAGATAAAACGTCCTTTGAATAAGAAATATCGTTTATTGGTATAAGGGGAGATTATAAACAAAACTATCCATAATTCATGGAAATATCTAGACAGAACGACGAACTATAAGTGTCGTTTATTAACTTCTGTATATGTTGACCTTTATCAACATCAATATCGAGTGAAAAAAACACAGGTGTTATGTACTTATGTAGCTGTTGCTTTGCCAACAATCATACTTAAGTTATAAAAGCCGCATTGTTCCTCGTTAGAAAATATTGATTTTTTCCCCTGATAAAACAACAAGCCGCATTTGAAATCAATTACTGTTCTAGTGTTTTAGCTAATGCAGCATTAAACCCCATTGAAACCTGAGAGTTGTCGTTTGTTAGAAACACAAAACAATATTGTAACTCATTTTATGGACTCTTGACAAGTCACACCATCAAAATAACATAAAATGATATGAAACTGAAAATCTTACTTTGGAAAGTACAGAATATGACTTGCAAGACGAACCTCACACTGAGATATGAAATATAATAGTGTGTTTATGTTGAATTCCACAAGTGTAATAAAGAAGTAAATTCACCAATAGTGGGAAGGTTTTCACATCAATTCATATTGTTTCTGTATCGTTGAGTTTTGTAATATGAGAAGGCATGCTACGTATAGCAACCAAACACTAACAGTGCCATAAAATCGATATGATATCCTGACACCACCTATTTTGTAAAGAAGTGATTGGGCACAAAGGAAACATATTATGTACTTACAAAAGGGGCGCCATTTTGTTTGTATATTAACAGATCAATCACGTTAACGAATTATTAAATCGATATCTAAGCATGAAGTTTATGACCTAAAATGTAGTACTCATGTGCAACGACCTTTTCCGTCCGGAAAATCTGATAAACAACACCATTTGTATTTCAAATGCTGTATGTAAAGTAAACATTGCGGATTTTCTCAGGACATTCTCCAGAATGGCTTAAACTCGCGATTGCGTGAATGATTTTGCGAACGATTCTGCTCCATATGCGGTTCAATTATCTTTCTTTTAATTCAATATTAGTTAAAATAATGTCAAATTTTCAAAATTAAGACCGTGGTATGTAAAATAAACGTCAAGATTTATTTTTGTCCCTACCAAGACAACAGTCTAATGCAACTGTTCACAAAAGTTAACATCAAAACACCACTGCAATATTTATTGAAAAACTTTACGTTTGTTTTGATAAAGATAAAACGGGCTACACGAATTCCTAAATGCCTTATGTACATGTATAGCTTTAAATACATTGTATATTTACTCATAATTGAATACAGTTTGTAGACAGCAACTTTCAAAGATTGGTGTAAAAACAAGAGGCCCAAATGCGCTGCATCGCTCTCCTGGCTAATTCAGCTATACATTAAACAAGGAATTTCAAACATTACAAATAGTTTATAAAATAACTTTCCTATTGTTCCCCAGCCGTGTGGTCAAACAGATGTCGGACACACAATTCATAAATATTGCTTCTGATTAAAGTTAGACAATATCCTTTGTACGAAAGAAGCATTTTAAAGAACTTTCATTCACCAATGGAACCCAACATCTCGGATATCAGACTTCTGTTTGACACAAAATAAGAATCATTTCAACTAGTCATGCTTCAGACCAAATCAGGACAGAATCAAAACATTCCAACAAAACAAGGGTTTCAGAGGGTTTTTTCACTATTGAACTCTGTCCCAGAGGACCGACACCCATCGTTTATACAACTGATTCCCTTTCACCAAAGCATGCACCAGACCACATTGGGACAACATCTATACAATCCTAAAGAATAAGGAAGTCTTTTAAAAATAATTTTCTCTGTTTTTCCTATAAGACCGGAACCATGTCGCCTAAGGAGGCCGAACACTTTGTTTTTACAGTTGATGTCCATTCAGCCAAGCATATTTCATTAGAAATTGGGACAAATACTCATGCATTGAAATAGAAGAAAAAGGACCGTTTCTTAAATTGCTCTATTTCAATTCAATTCCAATTGGACCAAGCCATGTCAGGTGAGCTTAAAACTAACAGACCGGTGTTTTACAGCACAGATTTTGCTCAAAATAATATACCGATAGGATAATTATTAACAATGCCAAATTTACAATTTGTAGTTCAATGAACAGACGAAAACTGTTTGTTTCTTAAGTAAACACCCACTTCGCCCTCCCCCACCTCTGATTACTTCTAAAGAAAGATTTTAGAATCTAGCATCCTATTACATGTCATTTGTATCTATGTGTCAGTATGCATGTCTGTTAACACGTAGCCAATCAGAATATGTCAACAGGTTTTGCCTCTGTGTCACCCTCAGTGACGGTATTGACAGATTGTCCCAGATGTCTAAGCTGTATATTACGACGCACAGTGCTTTAAAGCAAGATTTTTAATATGGCTGAATGTAGATAATCACCTTAGTGGTATTTTGTGTGGATTTGTTTTATCCCTGTCCGTATTCCTTCAATCAATACAAAGGTTTTCAATGTTAATCGCCACACTTGTATACTTGTGTGTTATCCATATTATGTGCAATATACACATATAAGTATTGTAGAAAAATTCTCTATACATGCCACAATAATTTACATAAAATGCATTTGATTCTAACAGGCATGTACTGGAACCTTCGTTATATAAATGTATACATATTTGGTGTTTTGGTTACGTAAAAAATATGCACGTTCATAACTAATGCACATATTTAATCATTATTTGGATAGGCCATTTCACCAAATTCACAGACCGAGAAGTCTTAGTATTGATAATAATGTGATGTAGAATATCTGTATATTATTACTACTGTTAATATACAATCCTAACGTTAATATATATTTATGTATTATTTCTCTACTTAAAATATCGCCGGATTTTTTAATTGAATGAATGGAAAAATGTTCATGATCATTAAGATATTTCTCCTACCACGCCGCTTTCCATGGCATTGTTGATCATATTTACACCATTACTACCAAGAGGTATATCTTAACATACAGTAATAATTATATTGTCTTTCTATAGTGACCAATAGAATAATCTGGTATTATTGATTTAACTAAACTCACCTCATGATAGATGATTTAATAGTATAAATACAAATGAAATGTGCATTTTAACGTTTGTTAGAAGGATTTAAAGACATCTTGGATTGAAATAGGAAGAGCCCATTGTTCAGCGAGTAACATCGTGCAATGACCCTGTGTGGTTAGATTATCTGATGTAGTCAATATATACTTGGTTCTGTTGTTATTTAGTCGCTACGGCCATTATCATAAACATAGTATTATCCTTACCTGTATAGGAGTACTTATGTATACACTATATATATAGCCTGAACACCTGACACGATCTCACTGTGGGGGCAAAGTAAATAAGATTTTTTTCCTGGTTGAAATTATGTAACGACGTCAGTGAGTATTGACCCCGTATCTAAGACTACCCTCGGATGTATTATTCATTAAATTACTAGCATCGTATCTCTTGACATGGCTGATACAAAATCTAATAATTAAAGTCCGGCCTCACAAGAATTCGAATTTCTTATTATATCCATTGAGACGCACTACAGTTACAGAACAGGTCTTGTGAAATTAAGAAATGATAGATTTTTCTATAGATTATATGCAACATTTATGACATCAAATAATCACCCCTTATAATAGTGAAAAAAAAAAAAAAAAACGATCAAAATTGTAAGATGAAAATTTACTTGTTAAATGTCATCAACACCTATTTTATAGTTTCTCAAACTAGAGATATTCTTAGTTTAAAATGAATGTCGATGCAACAATGCTTGTTGATGTTGTGATGCTAAGTTCAATGCAGGTAAGACCAAGAAATGTTTACCTGGGTTAGCGATATGCTGACTGGATTACCTGCCTTAGTGTTACTTTCTTTCTCCGCTGGGAAGCGTTTTAGATGGAAATGATGTTCAATGTGAATCAGATGTA